TTCGGCACACCCCTCACACGTTTCGTGGCCCCATAGGGAGCCCCACCGAAGGCCCCAGTGCTGCCGCCCGCATGCGTCCCGCACACCCAATTCGGCACACCCCTCACACGTTTCGTGGCCCCATAGGGAGCCCCACCGAAGGCCCCAGTGCTGCCGCCCGCATGCGTCCCGCACACCCAATTCGGCACACCCCTCACACGTTTCGTGGCCCCATAGGGAGCCCACCGAAGGCCCCAGTGCTGCCGCCCGCATGCGTCCCGCACACCCAATTCGGCACACCCCTCACACGTTTCGTCATTGCAGTCCCGCACACCCAATTCGGCACACCCCTCACGCGTTTCGTGGCCCCATAGGAAGCTCCACCGAAGGCCCCAATGTTGCCGCCCGCATGCGTCCCGCACACCCAATTCGGCACACCCCTCACACGTTTCGTGGCCCCATAGGGAGCTCCACCGAAGGCCCCAGTGGCGGCGCTCACATGCGCATGCGTCCCGCACACCCATTTGGGCACATCCCTGACAGGTTTCGTGGCCCCATCCACCGGAGGCCCCAGTGGCGGCGCTCACATGCGTCACCCACACCCACCCAATTCGGCACACCCCTCACACGTTTCGTGGCCCCATAGGGAGCTCCACCGAAGGCTCCAGCGGCCGCGCTCACATGCGTACCCGCCACCCATCCCAGCACGCCCCTCACAACAACAGGTTTCGTGGCCCCATAGGGAGCTCCACCGAAGGCCCCAGTGGCACCGCCTGCATGCGTCACCACCCGCACCCAATTCGGCACACCCCTCACACGTTTCGTGGCCCCATAGAGAGCTGCACCGAAGGCCCCAGTGGCGGCGCTCACATGCGTCCCCGCCACACATCCCAGTACACCCCTCACGCGCTTCGTGGCCCCATAGGGAGCTCCACCGAAGGCCCCAGTAGCGGCGCTTACATGCGTCTCCGCCACCCATCCCGCCCCCCCCCCCCGCAGCAGCATCATGTTTCGGGGACCCATAGGGAGCTCCACTGGAGGCCCCAGTGGCGGCCTGCACATGCGTTTCCGCCACCCATGTCGGCACGCCCCGCGCGTGTTTCATGTCCCCATAGGGAGCTTCGCCGAATGCCCCAGTGGCACCCATCTCGGCACACCCCTCACACGTTCCGTAGTCCTATGGGGAGTTCCATTGAAGATGAAACCCGCAGCTGCGGTACTGACAACTGCATATGGTTGGGTTCTTCGCCAGGCTAATTTCCAGACGGTCGGCAACTTCTGCATAGCGTTGGGGCGGGCGTGTCCCCCTACAGGCAAATGTTGTGCGAAAAACGAAAATAATTAGCCTGGCGAAAACCCCAACCATATGCAGTTGAGAATACCGCAATTGTGAATATCTTCTTCGGTGGAGCTCCCTATGGGGCCACGAAACGTGTGAGGGGTGTGCCGAAATGGGTGTGCGGGACGCATGCGGACGGCAGCACTGGGGCCTTCGGTGGAGCTCCCTGTGGGGCCACGAAACGTGTGAGGGGTGTGCCGAAATGGTGTGCGGGACGCATGCGGACGGCAGCCATGGGGCCTTCGGTGGAGCTCCCTATGGGGCCACGAAACGTGTGAGGGGTGTGCCGAAATGGGTGTGCGGGACGCATGCGGACGGCAGCACTGGGGCCTTCGGTGGAGCTCCCTGTGGGGCCACGAAACGTGTGAGGGGTGTGCCGAAATGGGTGTGCGGGGCGCATGCGGACGGCAGCCATGGGGCCTTCGGTGGAGCTCCCTATGGGGCCACGAAACGTGTGAGGGGTGTGCCGAAATGGGTGTGCGGGACGCATGCGGACGGCAGCACTGGGGCCTTCGGTGGAGCTCCCTGTGGGGCCACGAAACGTGTGAGGGGTGTGCCGAAATGGGTGTGCGGGACGCATGCGGACGGCAGCCATGGGGCCTTCGGTGGAGCTCCCTATGGGGCCACGAAACGTGTGAGGGGTGTGCCGAAATGGGTGTGCGGGACGCATGCGGACGGCAGCACTGGGGCCTTCGGTGGAGCTCCCTGTGGGGCCACGAAACGTGTGAGGGGTGTGCCGAAATGGGTGTGCGGGACGCATGCGGACGGCAGCACTGGGGCCTTCGGTGGAGCTCCCTATGGGGCCACGAAACGTGTGAGGGGTGTGCCGAAATGGGTGTGCGGGACGCATGCGGACGGCAGCACTGGGGCCTTCGGTGGAGCTCCCTATGGGGCCACGAAACGTGTGAGGGGTGTGCCGAAATGGGTGTGCGGGACGCATGCGGACGGCAGCAGGGGGCCTTCGGTGGAGCTCCCTGTGGGGCCACGAAACGTGTGAGGGGTGTGCCGAAATGGGTGTGCGGGACGCATGCGGACGGCAGCCATGGGGCCTTCGGTGGAGCTCCCTATGGGGCCACGAAACGTGTGAGGGGTGTGCCGAAATGGGTGTGCGGGACGCATGCGGACGGCAGCACTGGGGCCTTCGGTGGAGCTCCCTGTGGGGCCACGAAACGTGTGAGGGGTGTGCCGAAATGGGTGTGCATGCGGACGGCAACGGTGGAGCTCCCTGTGGGGCCACGAAACGTGTGAGGGGTGTGCCGAAATGGGTGTGCGGGACGCATGCGGACGGCAGCCATGGGGCCTTCGGTGGAGCTCCCTATGGGGCCACGAAACGTGTGAGGGGTGTGCCGAAATGGGTGTGCGGGACGCATGCGGACGGCAGCTGGGGCCTTCGGTGGAGCTCCCTGTGGGGCCACGAAACGTGTGAGGGGTGTGCCGAAATGGGTGTGCGGGACGCATGCGGACGGCAGCCCTGGGGCCTTCGGTGGAGCTCCCTGTGGGGCCACGAAACGTGTGAGGGGTGTGCCGAAATGGGTGTGCGGGACGCATGCGGACGGCAGCGCAGGAGAGGAGGAGAGGAGGAGGAGGAGAGGAGGTGGGACGCGGGGCGCTGTCTCTTCAAAACGAGGACCCAACACCACAGGATGGTTGGGAAAAAATCCCCAAGTACACCAAAAATCAAACAATTTGCCCCAAACTACTTTTTCCCCTAGTTTTGAATTTTCCTCCTGTAAAGGTACAGGCCCGACTTTTGTATAGCGCGTCGCGGCGGCGGCCCCGGCAGCACGCTATGCCCTACGAGTGGACCGCGTGTCGCTCTGCTCCGCGGTGCGGGAGGGTGTGACAAGCTCGAGGCGTCGAAGCTCGGGCACGGAGGGAGTGGGCACCGTGTCGTTTTCCAGAGCGTGGTGGGCGCCCTTTTCCTCCTCCTCCTCCTCCTCATCCGTCCTCCTCCCCCCGCCTTCTCGTTGGCCCCTCCGCCTCCCGCTCCGCCTCCCCTGCTCGTCCTCCCTTCCCCCTTCCCACGTCCCCAGAAGTCCCCCTAGTTCCCCCCCCCCGCACTTCAGTACGTGGTCCCCGGAAATGAAGACCTTTTCCCCAGGGTCAGTGCCGAATCCTACTTAATTGTCGTGTTCGACGGTCTGGGCGCCCGCCGGAAACTGGGACACACACACAGGCGCGCTGATGCTTTTCAACCTGGGCGGGAACCTGATCGGACAAGAACGGGAAGCGCTGCTGTAGTCTAATAGGCGTATTGGGCGAAGGAGAAAAGGAAGGCGAGGACAACGAGGAGTCGATGACGAGGACGACGTGGCGAACGTGAGGATAGCGAGGAGGAGCACGAGGACAAGGAGGAGGAAGAGAAGCACAGAGACGAGGACGAATAGAACGAGGGCGAGCACGAGGAGGAATGCGGAGGGCGATGATGACGACGACGACGACGACGACGACGACGACGACGACGACGACGACGACGACGACGACGACGACGACGACGACAGAGGACAGTACGAGGCAATTGGAGAAAGACGTTGCTCCTGGGGCCTGTTTGGGGTTTCTTGGGGGCCCCTTGGGTCCTCTAATAGGCTTCTGGGGTCGTCTTGGGCTGTCTGGGCGCGTCGTGGGGTTCTGTAGGAGCTGTCTTAAGCCTTCTCGGCGCTGGGGGCCTCCTGGGGCGCTCCCGGGAGTCTCTTGGGGCCTTCTTGGCCCTTTTCGGGCCGTCTTGGGGTTTTTGTGAGCTGTCTGGGTGGCCAAAAGCGCTCTTGGGGGTCTCTTGGGGTCTTCTTGGGGCGCTCCTGGGGCTCTCCGGGGCGTCTTTTGGGCCTCCCTTGGGCCGTTGGAAAGCCCTCCAAGAGCGATGTTTGGAGGATTTCTCGAGCGAAACGGCAATATTTCACAAATCTGTGACCCTCTTGGACTGTCCAGGCGTCTCTCGAAGGTCTGTGGGGGCTGTATTGGGCTGTCTTGGCGTTATCTTGGGCCGTCTTGGGGCTCTCTTGGCCAGTCCTGGGGCCTCTTCGCGCGCTCGGGGGGGCTCTGGGCGCCTCTTGGGGGCCTCTTGGGGGTCTCTTGGGCCGTTTTGGGGGTCCCCTGGAGGGCCTTTGGGGGTTCTCTTGGGCCGTGTTGAGGCCCTCCAGGAGCGACCCCAAGACAATGCCAGTTCGGAGTCCCCTCTGGAGCCGATTTTTCGAGGATGTCTCGAGCGAATCGGCCATTCTTCCGGAACCTGATCGGACAAAAACGGGAAGCGCCGCTGTAGTCTAATGGGCGTATTGGGCGAAGAAGACAAGGAAGGCGAGGGCAACGAGGAGTCGATGACGAGGACGACGTGGCGAACGTGAGGATAGCGAGGAGGAGCACGAGGACAACGAGGAAGAAGAGAAGCACAAGGACGAGGACGAAGAGAACGAGGGCGAGCACGAGGAGGAATGCGGAGGGCGATGATGACGACGACGACAACGACGACGGTCCGCCAACGAAGGTGCCCCATGGGATCCGTAGCCCTTAAGAAAAAATAAAGCCCCCAAACCAACGGTGCACGCCGGAGGCGCTTCCCGTCATCCGCCACCGTGCCTCGTGCACGCTGAGGCGCGGTAGAACCTGATCGGGCAAGAACGGGGCGCGCCGCTTTACTGTGGATATTCTTTTCTCTGCGAGGGCAAACTGTCCGTGGTGAATTGAATTATATGCAATACTGCGCTGCGCACGCGCGGCCGCCGCTGCGGCCGCTCTCGCCATGCGAGCCGCCGCCCCGCGGGCGCGCGCCTCCTCGGCCGAGGCGAAGCCGTAGGCCACAGCCACCGCCTCGGCCAGAGGCAGGATGAGGACGCCGTCGGCATCGCTGGCGCCCGAGCCCCCGCCTGCGGCCGCCGTGGGCGTCCTCTGGCGCCTGGCTGGCCGCTCGTCCTCGCCATCCCGCGCCGCGCGGGTGCTCGCGGCAGCGCTCGCGCCCTGGTCGCCGTCCGCCGCCAGCCCCAGTTTCTCCGCCCAGCGGCTCCGCCGTCGGCGCCACGAACGCTCCGAAGGCCTTCTTCGGCTCTGACCCTGGCAGAAGGCCGCGCACGAGGTCGTTGCGCGCCTGCGCCCTCGAGCCCTTGCGGGCTCGGCTGGCGGCGACTCCTGCGCACTCGTCGCGGAGTCCACGCCAGCACATCTTGGGCGTCCTCGCGCACATGAAGCACGTGGTGCCATAGAGGAACTCACCAGTTTCACCGTCAACGCGCCACATCATCAGCTGGTGGCCTCGGACCTGCCAAGGCTCCGCTCCAGGCGGCGGCGGCGGCCATCCAAGGACCGCGTTGCCGCCAGCCGCTGGTGGAGCCTGGATCCGACGCGCCACATGCCTGTCAGCAGCTGGCGTTGCGGCGGCAGAACTGCTGGCCAAACCCAGGCCGCTGGCGCCCGCCGCCGCTGCCGCCACGGGCCGCTTCCGCACGGGCAGGGCGCCTCCACGCTCCACCGCGCTCGAGGCCGCCGCCGCGGCCGACGCCATCAGCACTGCAGCTGCCGTCGCGCCTGGGGGGCACCCTGCCGCCGTGCTGGTCTCCTTGGCCTCCCACTCGGGCACGCCAAAGTCGAGGACAGCAAAAGACAGTTGGAGGAAGACGCTGGATCAACACCTTGAGGCGTGGCAGAATGCAAACACTGTCCGGCCAGGTTCCTGAACTGTCTCGAAGCCCCCCACCCCTCTCGAAATGCCCACCTGCGTGCACAACCCCGCCCTCTCCTCGAGGCCCCCTGGGTCGCCTCACGCCCCCCTGGCGGTCGTCAGAGCGCCCAAGCTGCCCAATATGGTGTCCGAAACGGCCTAAGGCAGGCCCCAAGACGGCCCAAGATGGCTTCAAAACAAGCCACGAGGCCGCCGAGGCGTCCCAATATAGCCCCAAGAGCCTTTCCAACAGGGCCTCGAGAGGCATAAACAAACGATCTGCCCAATGTTTCTCATTGGGTTTCTGGCTGTCGCCCTGTCGAGTTCCCGACGACGACCCAAGATGTCACCAGGGCTCCCCCAAGACGGCCCAAGACGGCCCCAAGAGGGCCCAATAGGGCTCCAAGGCGACCCAAGACTCGCCCACAACTGTCCAAGAGGGCCCCAAAACGGCCCAAAGAAGGGAACGCAACCCAGAATTCGAAGCTCCCGCTTCCTGAATGACCAGGAGGCTGCAAGAGGGCCAACAGCGGCTCCCAAGAGGGCACCGCGAGAGGCACACACCATTAAGCCCAAACAATTCGCTATCCTGTTTAAGGTCTTCGCCTCTCTAGGGGGAGCGATCAACCGTCACCGGCCTGAAAGAATTGTATATATCGGGCCACGAAGCAGGGCCGCCCCCCCCCGCTCCTTCCCCAGGACAAGATGCCAGAGGCGGGGGTCAGAAACCAGGCGCCCCCCCCCTCGCCTGAGCCCAGCCCAAAACGCCACCCGTGCAAAGTGCTGGCTACCCCCCCCCCCGTGGGACACTTATTTTGAAGATGCAGAAGCTCCCCTTCCGAGAAGTTGCTCGCAGGGTTCCCAGACCCCCTCCCCCCCCCCCCCCCTCCCCACACCCGAACATTTCCACGCGCCAAGGGCCACCAATCCATTCCGCCCAGGCAGCGGCGACGACGACGACGACGCCGCCGCGATGGGGGGGAGGGGGGGGGCGACGACGCCGCCGCTGGCAAACAACGCGAGCAACGACGACGACGATGATGACGACAGACGTCAACAAACGACGACGACGACAACGATGATGACGTCGACGACGACGACGGCGGCAACGACGACGACGACGACGACGGAAGACGAGGACGAGGACGACGTCGACGGACGACGCACGACGACCACGTCGACGACGACGCGAACGCTGGAAACTCAACACGATCAAGTTGTGGTCGGGGTCCGTTTTAACCTTCTTGGTGGAACTTCCGAAATCGGATTTTCTCATGGACGGCCAATCTCCTTGAGACTCCCGCCATCGTTCGGAGTTCCAGGCCACCGCGTTCCACTCCGTCCCAACATATTGATAAAACTGCTTCCCCCATCTCCACGCATGAAAATTATAAAGATGCCCCTGGCTGCCCAAAGTCCTCTCCAGAAGCTGTGCGTACTCATGCTTGTACTTCAAAACGGGGTTGGCAATTCTTTTCGGATCATACAACTGCATCCTGGCGACGTGCCCAGCCCAACGAGGACCCAACACCAGGACGTAATCATCCCATGGGGTAACGTTATGCTTTTCCATCAGTTTCCGAAGCAGGCGGTGTAATCGGGACATCTGTGATTTCATCAGCTCATCATCGTGCTGCCGATGGCCACTCATATACCTAAGCATCCTGGTCTGGGCTGCCCTCGACATTCCCAAGTGCTGCCCAGTCAAGTTCAGGCCCCCGGAACCATAAAACGCAGCTAGCCGAACCACAGAATCCAGAAGTCCCAGGCGCTTCCCCAGATTGGTCTTCCCATTGCACAAAGGCGCTTCGTATTTGGCCCGGGCAGCCCAGGCCCTGCGAATGCCGCGACGGACAGCCGTAGAAGCACAGCTGCCCATCGTCGTCCAAGCTCCGAACATGCGGAAAGCTTCTGCCAGCGGGATTCTTGACGCGAGCCCAAGTCCGACGCGCAAGGTGGCCGCGGCATCTGGCTTGACCACGCAGGAAGACTTCTGCAATGTCCGATGCCAGGCGTCCCACGTCTCGACGAGCATCGCGGGCGAGCTGGCGAACAAATGAAAGTTGTCTGCGAAATCTATAAGTGGCAGTCGCTCGGTATGAGGATCCCGCTTACGTCGCTTAGATGGTTGTCCCAGAATGGCCATGTCCTCGGGCTCCAATGGATATCCCCAAATCTTTTCATCGCATAAATCGCTGAACTCAGTTATCGGGTCGCCCAGGAAAAAACTAGCCTGGCGAAGGACCCAACCATATGCAGTTGAGAGTACCGCAATTGTGAATATCTTCTTCGGTGGCGCTCCCTATGGGGCCACGAGCCGTATGAGGGGTGTGCCGAAATGCGTGGCAGTGTACACAACACGAACGAAGACGACGATAGGTCCGAATATGAAAGCTTGAGCGCGTGCGAGTCGGATCGCGAGCGAGTCTGATTATGAATGAATCTGCGCGCGATTGATTCTATTCGCATGACTGCGTGCATGGATACGCCCAGTGTAAATGTATGTATACGACTGTGAACAGTTTGGGTCTGCGTGACTCTCGGTACTCGTGACTCTGAGCGTCGCCTCTGCAGGGGGCTTCCCTGGGAACCCCGACGGCAGCGCCCGTGCGCCGCGACGCCCATGTCGGCACGCGCTCCCTGTGGGGCCACGAAACGTGTGAGGGGTGTGCCGAAATGGGTGTGCGGGACGCATGCGGACGGCAGCCATGGGGCCTTCGGTGGAGCTCCCTATGGGGCCACGAAACGTGTGAGGGGTGTGCCGAAATGGGCGTGCGGGACGCATGCGGGCACACCCACTGGGACCTTCGGTGGAGCTCCCTATGGGGCCACGAAACGTGTGAGGGGTGTGCCGAAATTTGTGTGCGGGACGCATGCGGACGGCAGCACTGGGGCCTTCGGTGGAGCTCCCTGTGGGGCCACGAAACGTGTGAGGGGTGTGCCGAAATGGGTGTGCGGGACGCATGCGGACGGCAGCACTGGGGCCTTCGGTGGAGCTCCCTGTGGGGCCACGAAACGTGTGAGGGGTGTGCCGCAATGGGTGTGCGGGACGCATGCGGACGGCAGCACTGGGGCCTTCGGTGGAGCTCCCTGTGGGGCCACGAAACGTGTGAGGGGTGTGCCGAAATGGGTGTGCGGGACGCATGCGGACGGCAGCCATTGGGCCTTCGGTGGAGCTCCCTTTGGGGCCACGAAACGTGTGAGGGGTGTGCCGAAATGGGTGTGCGGGACGCATGCGGACGGCAGCACTGGGGCCTTCGGTGGAGCTCCCAGTGGGCCACGAAACGTGTGAGGGGTGTGCCGAAATGGGTGTGCGGGACGCATGCGGACGGCAGCCATGGGGCCTTCGGTGGAGCTCCCTAATGGGGCCCACGAAGCTGTGAGGGGTGTAACCGAAATGGGTTTGCGGACGCATGCGGTGCGGCAACATTGGGGGCCTCGGTGGAGCTCCACTGTGGGGCCAACGGAACGTGTGAGGGGAGAGCCGAAAAGGGTTGCTCGGGACGCAATGCGACGGCACCATGGGGCCTTCGGTGGAGCTCCCTGTGGGGCCACGAAACGTGTGAGGGGAGAGCCGAAATGGGTGTGCGGGACGCATGCGGACGGCAGCCATGGGGCCTTCGGTGGAGCTCCCTATGGGGCCACGAAACGTGTGAGGGGTGTGCCGAAATGGGTGTGCGGGACGCATGCGGACGGCAGCACTGGGGCCTTCGGTGGAGCTCCTGTGGGGCCACGAAACGTGTGAGGGGTGTGCCGAAATGGGTGTGCGGGACGCATGCGGACGGCAGCCCTGGGGCCTTCGGTGGAGCTCCCTGTGGGGCCACGAAACGTGTGAGGGGTGTGCCGAAATGGGTGTGCGGGACGCATGCGGACGGCAGCCATGGGGCCTTCGGTGGAGCTCCCTATGGGGCCACGAAACGTGTGAGGGGTGTGCCGAAAGGGGTGTGCGGGACGCATGCGGACGGCAGCACTGGGGCCTTCGGTGGAGCTCCCTGTGGGGCCACGAAACGTGTGAGGGGTGTGCCGAATGGGTGTGCGGGACGCATGCGGGCGGCAGCCATGGGGCCTTCGGTGGAGCTCCCTATGGGGCCACGAAACGTGTGAAATATAAAAAAAAAAAAACAAAAACAATAAACAAAAATAACTAAAAAACAAAAACAAAATGGAGAAAAAAATAAAAAAAAAAAAAACGGGGGGGTGCCGAAATGGGTGGGGGTGACGCATGCGGGCGGCGGCGCTGAGGCCTTCGGTGGAGCTCCCTATGGAGCCACGAAACGTGTGAGGGGTGTGCCGAAATGGGTGTGGGGGACGCATGCGGCCGCGGGCACTGGGGCCTTCGGTGGAGCTCCCTATGGAGCCACGAAGCGTGTGAGGGGAGTGCCGAAATGGGTGTGGGGGACGCATGCGGCCGCGGGCACTGGGGCCTTCGGTGGAGCTCCCTATGGAGCCACGAAACGTGTGAGGGGTGTGCCGAAATGGGTGTGGGGGACGCATGCGGCCGCGGGCACTGGGGCCTTCGGTGAGCTCCCTAAGGGGGCCAACAAAACGTGTGAGGGTGTGCGTAATGGGTGTGCTGGACGCATGGGGACGGCAGCACTGGGCCTTCGTGAGCTCCCGGCCACGAAACGTGTGAGGGGTGTGCCGAATGGGTGTGCGGGACGATGCGGACGGCAGCCATGGGGCCTTCGGTGGAGCTCCCTATGAGGCCACGAAACGTGTGAGGGGTGTGCCGAAATGGGTGTGCGGGGCGCATGCGGACGGCAGCACTGGGGCCTTCGGTGGAGCTCCCTGTGGGGCCACGAAACGTGTGAGGGGTGTGCCGAAGTGGGTGATGACGATGACGG